TTTTGCGTGCCTGACCCTGTCGATGGCATACATAGAATGCTTCCAACCACACGGGGGTTTCTATAGGCCATTGCTCCTCGTGCCTCTATGAGGGGGCCAGGTTCTAGCTCGTGGTCCCCGGTAGGCCCACAGAACTCTATACATATGACTGATGCCAAAGTCTGACAATAGTATATCAGCCTGGATAGTTCCGGGAAGCCTCCGGGACTCACCCAGAAAATGGCGTTTCATTACATTCAACGCTGGTTTTTTTAACTCGCCTAGTTGTCCTTGCAAGGGTTGAGCTCTGGCTGTTCGGTCCTGCTTCTCAACTGTCAATCAATTGGTGTACAGATTCTGTGAGCCTACTGGGCTCTATCATATCTACATTTGAAACTGTGTATAGAGTTTGCTTTCACCATATCACTGTCTAATGCATTCCATTTCTTAACTACTGACACTGAAAAAGTTCTTTCTAATGTCTCGGTGGCTCATTTGGGTACTCAGTTTCCACCTGTGTCTCCTTGTTTGCATACCACCTATTGGTGTGGGTGAGCAACTGCAGGGCATTTGGGGGGGTGTCATCTAGGGTCTTGATGTTTTTGGTATTCTCTGCTTCCTCTGTGTTTCTGCACTGATGTAGGAGCCATGAGGAGAATTCAAATATGCACACTAGGTACTCCCAAGCACATGCCCTAGACCACTACACCAGCTAAATCAGGTAAAACGACATGGTCAAAACAATGATTCAACCAAGGGGGTTCTGAGGATTCCACTGAAGCCCAAGCAGGGTTTCCCACATTGTCACAATATGCACTCTGGCCGTGTTTTCATGATGACCTTCCCCATGCTTCTGTTATTTTTCATTGCCTTGTGTGCCTGGATACATTTGGGTATGTGCCCAGATGTCCCTGGGTTGTGTTCCTAGATGTCTGTGGGTTGTGTGCCCAGATGTCCCTGGGTTGTGTTCCTAGATGTCTCTGGGTTGTGTGCCCAGATGTCCCTGGGTTGTGTGTGTGTGCGCCCAGATGTCCCTGGGTTGTGTGTGTGTGCGCCCAGATGTCCCTGGGTTGTGTGTGTGTGCGCCCAGATGTCCCTGGGCTGTGTGCCCAGATGTCCCTGGGCTGTGTGCCCAGATCTCCCTGGGCCGTATGCCCAGATGTCCCTGGGCTGTATGCTCAGATGTCCCTGGGCTGTGTGCCCAGATGTCCCTGGGCTGTGTGCCCAGATCTCCCTGGGCCGTGTGCCCAGATGTCCCTGGGTTGTGTACCCAGATGTCCCTGGGTTGTGTACCCAGATGTCCCTGGGTTGTGTACCCAGATGTCCCTGGGTTGTGTACCCAGATGTCCCTGAGTTGTGTACCCAGATGTTCCTGGGTTGTATGCCCAGATGTCCCTGGTTGTGTACCCAGATGTCCCTGGGTTGTGTACCCAGATGTTGCTGGGTTGTATGCCCAGATGTCCCTGGGTTGTGTACCCAGATGTCCCTGGGTTGTGTACCCAGATGTCCCTGGGTTGTGTACCCAGATGTCCCTGGGTTGTGTGTGTGTGTGCCAAGATGTCCCTGAGCTGTGTGCCTGGCTGTCCCAAGGCTGTATGCCATGCAGTCTTCAGTCTGTGTCATCCAGCTGCACCGGGATGTCTCACTTGGCTGTGCAGGGCTGTCTTGCCTGACTGTCTCAAGGCTGCCTCATCCAGCTGTCTCTAAACTGTTTCCTATAGCTGTCTCAAGACTGTTTCACCCAGTTGTTTCTGGGCTGCCTTTCCAGACTATCTCCCCAAACTGTCTCCAAACTGTCTCCCTAAACTGTCTCCAAACTGTCTTGCCCTACTTTCTCCAAATTGTCTCACCCAGCTGTCTCTGGCCTGTCTCACTCAGCTGTCTTACTCAGGTGTCCTGCTTAAGTGTCTTCAGGCTATCTCACTCAACTGTATCTGAGTGCTCTCTCCCAGCTATCCCCAGATTGTCTCAACCATCTGTGTATGGACTGTCTTGCACAGCTGTCTCTGGACTGTTTTGCCCAGATGTCTCCAGGTTGCTGTGTCTAGCTGTCTGCAGCTGTCTCACCTAGATGTCTTACCTAGCTGTCTCTGGGCTGTGTTAAACCAGCAGGCCATGTTGGTTTTGAGTGGCACCAGATAATGTTGTTCTGGGTGGCATCACACTATCTTGTTCCAGGTGGTACCAGGCCATGTTAGTCCAGGTGGCACCAGGCCATGTTGGTCTGGCTAGCTCTGGACCATGTTGCCTTGAAAGTAATGCTGGGGCTCTTCTGTTCCAGCTGTGTGATCTCAGTTGGTTTCTTCACGGTGATTTTTCTTGGTGGCATATTTGGATTTACTGGCCAAGGCAGTAATATTTCAGGCTTGAGGGGGGGCTCTTTCTTGGAGGTTACTTGTGATGCCACAGCAGTGATCTCCAATGACCTATCATCATTTGAATATGACCTTTTAGCCAAATGTTGCTCTTTCTGACTGTTTACATTCCTAGACATTTCACCATGGGGAAGGGGAGGGGGATGAAACAGTTATGTCAAGGTGTTTTTCATATTCACTTAAAGTTTAATTATAATTATACCTCATTATTATTTGCTTAATTAAACATACAAGCTACTTCTTACATGAATTTAAGATAAGTTTGGTTTTCTTCACCTTTTCCTAACAAATAAACTTGCATTGTCTAGTTAAAGCATTATTAAATAAATATAATATCCAGTTTAATGCAGTAGATGTACTGTAGTATTTTTCATAACATCGTTAGTAGTTCTTATTGCATGAAAGAAAAAATAACAAAGTAATATTTTTTGCATGAGTAGAGCTTTTATACAATATATATATATATATATATATATATATATATATATATATATATATATATATATATATATATATAAATATATATATATATATATATATATATATATATATATATATATATATATATATATATATATATATATATATATATATATATATATATATATATATATTTATATATATATATATATATATGTATGTATATTATTTAAACATTTTATAAGGCATTTATTGCATCAAGTAACTAACTTTTGGTGAAAGCATGGGTAATGGGATTTATTATGGTTCTTAGAAATCTTATTTAAATTCAATTTACATACTGACAGTGTACTTACCATTATCCTAGCTTATAAGGATTATGTTAGATTTGTAAAGTTTTTCTTGTGCCATGCTCATTCATCAGCAGATGTGTACAACCAAGAATTTTTTTTTGTGAATATAAAAAAATCATTACAGTATTCAGCTTGAACTCGTGTTTATTGTATTAAGTAGAGGGCAAAGTTGATTAAGTACATTGTCTTTATGCAAACAATAATAATATAAATGCTCTATGGATTTGCACAAATAAAGGAGTTTTGACTGGTTGCATTATATTATAAACATTAGGTAGCCCTAGGATGCATAATTCCTATAGCATCATCTTAGCAAATTTAATTTTATCTTACATTATTACTAATGGTCATGATTGTATTTACATCTAATATCTCCATCTCAGTTCAACTTGATAGATTTATTATTCTAAATTGTTATTTTGAGGTATGAGATTTATTTATATTTATATTTACTTTCAGTTAGCTCTTATTATACCTACATATTTTGTCATAGCCCTAATTTTCCTGGCCTACAACATTAAAATCAATATACTGTACCATTGTTGGTTAGGAGCAAGGGACCTGTTAGAGTTTTTAAGGTGCCCATAGCCGAGATACTACACACACAAAATGATACTGTACCTAACTGATGAAGCAATGTACGCATCATTCACTGGGCTAGCTTCCATAGCAGTTGGATAAGATGACACCCCCTTCTTCCCCACTTAAAGCCCAGGCCACTGAAGTATGCTCAGTAAATCTGAACCTCAATGTTTTGTTTCTGAGCTGGGCCTTCTTATATGCTCCAGTAGCCAATTCAATTTGGCATAACCACCATAGGAACCAAAAAACATACACCAGATGCAGATGCATGGCTAGGCATGATAAAACCAGACTTACCCAAACCAACAGGGCAAGAAGGCAGAAAACTGCCTAACTGCAGGATTAATTGAGAAACCAGTTTCTTAATTAATTGAGTTTCTCAGTTTTGGGGCAAAAACCCAATTGTGTTGCCATGCACCATCTCAAAACCAGCCACTGGACAGCTGGCATTGGTATAGGAGAATTTTTATATGATGGTGGGTCATAGCTGCTGACAATGCAGGCAGGAGCAGGCCTAATGGCAAACATTGCCATTCATCCCTGGCCATATTACACAAATTGTCAAGAAGCATTGTGTGACATATACACCTGGATGTGCAAGAGAATGGAAGTAATTTTTGAGAAGTCAGGACACTTGAGTCAAAAGGCTTGTTGTAGGTTGACTTCTGTGTTGGCTGCTGAGGCTAGGAGAGATGTCTTTCAACTAGATATGTTAGCTGGGAGAATCTGTTTGGACACTACAGATTCATCAGAATCTACAACTTTCCTGCATTTCAGATTCTTCACTGATGTACTCACCTCTTATTATTATGTCAGCTTATATACAATTATTCACTCTACTTACACTATATTCATTATTTCCATTCATTACACTTTCAAAGTAGATTCTCTCCACAACTGCTAATTTCTTCTCCATTTAACATTTTTCTGTCTATTTTTAATATTCCCTTTTATCTATCCAGAAATCTCCCTGTTGCACTAACATCTTTTTAAGAGAATTTCATGCTTTCTGCATTATTTTCTTAATTTTCCACTATCGCTTCATTCACAGTTAATGTTAAATTATGCATGATTACATTTCATCAACATTCAGTCTTCTGTGCAAGTGATATCAATATAAATAATTTGTAGCATTATGTTGTATAGCAGTTTTGATATACAGGTAGACTCTATACAGTAATCTTCCTCACTGATGTGATCAATCAAAGTTACACTATTATGTTGAACTGAGAAGAGAATAATATATATTCATGGTGATGGTTTGCACTTACTAATAAAACTTGCATGTCAGATCCAAAACCACGAGAATCAGCTGTGGTGCCTTGGAACCGTGAAGCTCCTGTGGTCTCATTGGGCAATCCTACTGTACTATATTGCCGGGCTATTGGCTGGCCAAAACCATTTGTTACGTGGTGGCGAAGTGCTGACATGTTGCCACTTTCCTCTCAACAATATGAACAATTCCGAGATGGCTCATTAACCATACGTGTAGTTAACCTGAGGAATCTTGGTCCATATACATGTCAAGTGTACAATGGTTACGGTCGTGCCACTTCCCAGACAATTGTATTGCGGGCTCTTGGTCCTGTCCACAATAAACCCAGTGCTGACCGTGATTTCCTTCAGTATATAGTTGATCCACCCAAAGCCCCACCCACCACAAAATCACCTCCACCTGCTATCCCTACAACCCAATTCCCTGCTATTCGTCCTGATCAGCGACCTTATTGGCCTGCACACAGGCCTCCACCACCACTCAAAATTACCACTACCCCTCGACCAACAACTAGACCATACATAGGTGAGGTCTTGCATGTTTTTTCTTGGGATTTCTAACTTGCATTTTGAAACTAAACTTTTTCATTATTCATGATTCTTACTGTAAATTAACAAAGTACAGTTCCTCATTTATGACAGATTTGGATGAGAATGCCTTATTCTTAATGTAGATGTCATACACTACATCAAGAACAAAGTATTTTCATCCAAATTTTTTTTCTTTATTAGTTATCAAAAACATTTTATCTTTGTTGCTAATATACTTGTGTATATCACAAAACATATATTCAGCACCCAATTATAAAATTATATGTAAATCTAGATGAAAATCTATAACTACAATATTCATTTTATTTCATGCCATAAATTGAAATTTTATCACATGAATTTATCTCAATGCTTACAGTTCCACTTCGTGCAATAATTCGTCTCAATACAACTGAGTTCACACCCTCATCAACTATACATATTCCCTGTGAGGTTAAAGGCTATCCACTTCCAGTAACAACATGGCATAAGGGAGAGGACTTAATAGAAGCCTCTGAAAAATATGAAATAGAAGGTAAGGCTAAGAATATGGTATTTAGGTTTCAGGTATTAAATATATTAGTTTAATTAGTTCAGGTATTATATAGTTTCAGATTAAATATAATTCTTTTCATAAAAGAATAACAATTTTGTAGCGGATATGCTTTATATCATCCATGTTAAGTGTATTATATAAATAAACCATTTAATTATTGCTTATATTGGTAAAATCTCATTAGGTACATTCATTGTTGTCAGCAATGAAGATACCATACTATTACTGTAAGAATCAAGTACAGTATTGAATATTATGAAGTGCCCTTTTTGGTTCAGCCCCCAAATGCTTAACTCTGGTACCACAAAGCTTGCATGAAAAAAAAAAATAGCTCACTCATAGAGCTATGAGTGAGATTTGGGCATCTTCCCAATGAGAGGGATGCAGAGGATCAAGAGAGGGATGCAGAGGCTTAAGAGAGTGATGCAGAGGCTCAAGAGAGTGATGCAGAGGCTCAAGAGAGTAATTCAGATTTGTACGTCGCCAAAATAGTCTTCCTGGCTGGCAGACTGCCTTTTCTTTCGCTGGTGGCTTGGCATTCATTCTGTCGGACTGCGCACTTGAATGACAAGCGTTGCCTGCAGTTGTTCAGGTTTTCCCTGGGGGAGGGGGGTGAGTTGGAGCACCTCAATGTGTGCTTGGTTCGCCCCCGTCCTTCCTTATGATGTCGGCCAGGTGCGGCCTCACGCGCAGGTTCCCTTCCTTTCAGCATCCCAGGTGGCTGAGGCTTTGTGCGCCCGTGGGCTCTTGACTTCGGTTTTGCGCTTCTTTTCCCTGCTGGAGCTTCTTCGGACTGGCTCGTGGTGGGTGTGGAAGAGCTGGTTTCTGGGCCCGTGTCTGGTGTGCTTGCTTCGGCAGCTCGGGCTCCGGCTGCCTTGGTGAATTTGTATGTGCCGTTTCTGAGGGAGCCGGTGTCTGCTCTTCACTTCTCGCCTCGCATGCTGACAGGCAGTGCTCGTCCATTTTTTGGAATCGTCTTAGGCCCTTGCTTTTAGGTTTTCATCTCCTTTTTGTCAATTGCAGAATCTGCGATGGTGCATTTCTTGCGGCTTCGTCTTGTCGCAGCCTATGTCGGACTTGTAGGTTCTTCGAGGGGGGGGGGCATGGAAGTCTTGCCCAGAAGGGTCGCGCCAGGGCTCGGGGTTCCTTCGGTCGTCATAAACCAGTAATGCCAGATTCAGACCTGGCCCTTATATGGAGTCGTTGGCTCAGTGATCGCTCTTAGTGTCAGTCGGGCTCTCGTAGGGGTCGTTGGCTCTTTCACGATTTGCCCTGTTGGCGGGTCAGTAGGGAGGAGGCTCGCGCTGTTTGTTCTTGCCTGGTCCCATGATTCGTGGGCAATTCGGGTCATTTTCCTCTGGCCTGCGTTGGCGTTGCTTCTTTCCTTCTCCTTCATGGGGAGTCTTGCGAGGCGGGCCTCGTCCCCTGCGCTCTGTCAGGTCATCATAGAGTGGGTTTCCCGCCTGTTTTCAGTTCCGATACGGGACTGGGCAGATCTGTGATTTATACTGGCCTTGTTCCATCTGATCCCCTGGGTCTTATGCCCCCCTCCTTTCAGATGACCACTCTTGTTTCGAGTCCGGCTGCTTTTGTCGCCAGGTGCCTGGATGGTGTCTCTAGGCCTTCGGAATGTGTATTAGCACGTCCCAATTCATCCAGTGTTCATGGACTGGCTTGGTTTTGTCGTGGAGTGACACACTTGACACATTCGTTGCCTTCCTTCAAGTTTGGATCTGGCACCTCGCGTGTCCAAACGTCTTAACCGGGTCATGGTGACCCGTTTGAGTTCTGGTTTACCGCGACGATTAGCTGGTGTGGGCTCCCAGTCAATCCGTGTGTCTGCTCACCAGGGATTTGGTTCCTTACCATCTTGCTGGGTTTGGGTGTACTGGAAGAGTTCCTTACCAGCTCGTCTTGGTGTACTGGAAGAAGTCCCATTTGGTTCCCTCTCAGGTTCGGACTGGGCCGGGTCTTGTGTGGGACTCTTGGACCGCTTCCTTGTCTCTCCCTCTGGTGGCGTTGTTGCAGCTGTGGTCACGCTTACGACTGTTTTTGGAGGGCACCCGGGTCATACGTCGGTTGTTTGGGCGGCGGTACGGGAGCATGATCTTGGCTGTGCTGGTCTACCAGTCGGGTCGGATCTGGCTTTGACGGATGGTTTCTTCGAAGACGTCCCTTCTGCTGCTCTAGTGATCGCTGTGTTCGGATCCCGGGAGCCTTGCTTCAGCTGCTGCATCGCCGGCTTCCTCTGAGGGTTTTTTCAGGGTTCTATGCCCTGACGCCTCCCTGAGCCCTCGCTCGATGTGTTCACAAATGCCTCGTCTCGCAGCTGGGGTTTTGTGACCAGTGCTCACCAGGCCGGCCAGAGTCAGTGGGGTCCATCCTTTCGTCAGGCTCACAGCACAGTGCAGGAGTTCACGGTGGTGTGGCATTTGCTTCAGAGGGCTCGTGTTGCTCGTGGAGCGATGATCCGGCCCCCATTCAGACTGCTCCCCAGTGGTTCATTGTCTGAACCGCGGGGATTCAATGCTGTCCTTGGCTCTTTGAGGCTGGTCGCTTCAGGTGACTAGTTTGCTGAGTTCTCGGGGTTTGGCTATTCCCGCATACACGGGAAGGCTCCTCCTCGACGCGAAGAGGTCCACCTCGGGGCGCCCGAATGTCTGGCAAAGCCAACAAAAGGAAGTGTTGTTGACCGTCCACTCCATGGAGAGGGGAACGAAGCAAGACAGGCCGTCGGCCAAGACGTTGGACACTCCCCGCACGTGAACTGCCAGGAGAGCCAAACCCTGAGAACTCAGCAGAAAGTCACCTAAAACGACCAACCCCCAAAGAGGCAAGGACCGCATTGAACCCCCGCGGTTCAGGCAATGAACCACCGGAGAGCAGTCCGAATGGAGACGAATCATCGATCCACAGATGACCCGAATCCTCCGAAGAGCAAACCACACCGCCGCAAACTCCCGCACTATGCTGTGAGCTCGACGAAAGGACGAACTCCAATGCCCCTGGCCGGCCTGGTGAGCACTGATCACAAAGCCCCAGCTGAGAGACGATGCATCCGTGAACACATCGAGCGAGGGCTCGTTAGGCACCAAGGCACTGAACCCCAAAAAACCCGAAGAGGAAGCCGGCAACGCAGCAGCCAATGCAAGGCTCCCCGGGGGTCGAATCCAGCAATTGCGAGAGAGGTGAAGGGATGATCCTGAAGGAAGCAGAACAGCCAATGAAGTCAAACCCAACCCAGCATGTAGACTATCATCGCGAAGTTCAGGCTCCCGCACAGCCCCTCGAGCAACTGCTGGGTGACCTGAGGGCCTACCAGAAACAGACGAAGGCGGGACCGCAACCGCAGGAGAGACAAGGAAGTGATCCGAAAGTCCCAAACGAGACCGCAACCGCAGGAGAGACAAGGAAGCGATCCGAAAGTCCCAAACGAGACCAAGCCAAGTTCGAACCTGAGAGGGGACCAGATGGGACTTCCTCCAGTTCACCATGAACCCGAACCTGGCGAGCTGGGAAAGAACCAAATCCCTGGCTAGCAAGCAAGACGACCGACTGGGATCCCAAACCAGCCAGTCATCGAGGTAGGGCCAACACCCGTACACCTAAGAGACGCAAACGGGCCACCACAACTCGTATAAGGAGTGTGAACACGCGAGGTGCCAGGTTTAACCCGAACGGGAGACAACGAAAGCGATAACTCAGATGCCCCATGACAAAACCGAGCCAGTCCCTGAACCTCAGATGAATCGTGACATGCCAATAAGCGTCCCGGAGGTTCAGGGACACCATCCAAGCATCCGATTCCAAGAGGAGCCGAACCTGAGACAGCATAGTCATCCGAAAGGAGGGGCACTGAACCCAGGGGTTCAGACGGGACAAGTCTAGAATGAACTGCAGGTCTGCGCAATCCCTTTTTGGGACAGGAAACAGACGGGAAACCCATCTGAGGGACGACATCGTTTCGACGACGCCTATGCGACCCCACTCCAAGACGACCTGACAGAGCGCAGGGAAAGAAACCTGCCCTGCCAGCCCCGACCCCCTCCCCAATGACACCGCAGGCCGACAGACACGACCCGAAACGCCCACGATTCGTGGGACCAGGCGTGAGCGAACAGCGCAAGCCTCCCCCCTATCGCCCCGTCAATGGGGCAAACTGCGAAAGGGCCAGCACCCCTTACGAGACCCAGAACCCCACGCAGAGCGAACACCGCGCCAACCAGATTAGGGCGGGTCCGAAGAAGGAGCCGAACCCGAACCTGATACCAGTGGCCTACCACGACGAGAGAAACCCTGAACCCTGGCACGACCCTTCCGGGAAGACCCACCACGAGACCCCCGGAAAACTAACAAATCCGACATCGGACGACAAGCCGACAACGCAGCCTGGATAAACTGCTCCACAACCGACTCCTCAAACAGAAGAGGACAAAAAGGCGATGACAGCCTAAGAGCCAGAGCCCAAGCAGATTCCACAGAGGAACCCAGCACCGCCTGCTGACATGCGAGCTGGGAAGCATAAAACAGGAAAGCCGCATCCCGCAATATCGGCGCAAAAAGCTTCAACAAGGCAGTCGACGAACGTGCTGCCGAGGACAAAGCGCCGGATCCCGGGACGGACCCAAGCGCCCTCACATCCTCCAAGAGCCAATCCGAGGACAGCTCCAAGAGGGAAAAGAACTGCAAGGCCGAAGCCAAAAGGCCCGGGCGCGCAAGCCCTCCGTCATGAGTGCCGCCAAAAGGGGGGGAACCTGCACATGGAGCTGTACAATGCCCACATTGCGGGGAAGGGCAGGGGCAAACAAACACTCGTTCAGGTACTCAAGATTGCCCCCCACCCCCACCCCCAGGAAAACCTGAATCACCGTGGAAGCTTTCCGCCACTCCAGTGTGCGGGAACGACAGAAGGAATGCCAGGAATCCAGAACAAACAAGGGGCAGTCCGCTAGCCAGGAAGACTCCGGAACTTGGTAACG